AAATGTATGCAGGTATGTATGTTTGTATGTATGTATGTATGTATGATGTTCGTATGTATGTATGTATGTATGTATGTATATATTCATATATGTATATGTGGGGGTGAGTGTGTGAGTGGCTGTGGTTATGTATACATATATATATATATGTCATGTAAATATATATCATATAAAAACCCTAAACCCTAAAACCCTAAAAAAAATCCATCATAGCGTTTCCATTTGTATCTGTGTTATTTGCGCATTTTTTTATCTAGCCGGCCTACGGTCATATGTTACATTGCACAAGATCGCGCGTCCGCACTTCACTTTCACATCGCTTGATGTGCACAATTCTTACCCGACAAGTGTAAACGACCGAAATTGAACCACCTTTTTAATCGTTTTTTTCTTAGTTCTGGAGGCGTTTTCAAAGAAGGGGACTTAAGTGTTGGCCAAGATGGCCTGAATATAGCTGATCACGCGGCAAAATTACTTGCCGCAGTCACCGAACTAAGCCTGGATGAGCCAGCTGACGAGTATGTAAATGAGTGCTTAGGAAACAACGTAGTCATATACTTCCGTAACACTTGCGGTCAAAACTGTTCAGAAAGTCCGCTAAGGTTGTCCGCTTGAATGTTTTACCTACGTACACATCTGCTTGCTCCGTCATTTATGCTATGCATAAATGTTCGAAATTTTGTCGTACACTTCAACGCTTTTGCACTAAGATTGACGTTATTTTTTGTAATTACATTTAGTGACAATGAGGAGTTCAGTATAGATCTGCCAAATGTACAGTCCGATACATCTCTAGGAGTGGTCAATCCTTCAGAAGCTGTTCAACTAAATGACTTGCAAAGGTTGGGCGTAGTTGGACGAGGTGCAGGCGGTGTTGTGCAAAGAGCATTACATGTGCCCACAGGAAGGATCTTTGCACTAAAGGTAATTGATTATGCTCGGAAGTACTCGCAGACTTACTCGATGTGATTGGCTTTAGAACCTTATACCACCCGCAAATGCACACGTCTGTGCGAACTTGGAGGTCGAGATCATTTTGCGAACCCCTATTGCGGCTGTTGGACTCTGTGCTATCATATCGGGTTATTGTGCGGACAAGGTCAAAGTGCACCGCGGCCGTTTGTGATGTGAGATCGAACAAAACTGAATCACACCGCCTCTGATTAGGTTATGACGTGTCTATACGCTCGTTGACGCTCTATGATACTCTCGCCCGATCTGCAATTGAAATCGTTTCCCCTTCCTCTCTGCTATCAGATAATACAACTGGACGTCACTCCTCAAGTTCGCAAACAGATTCTCTTGGAGCTAACAACACTGTACAAAGCACAATCCCCCTATATCGTAAAATTTCACGGTGCCTTCTTCAGCGAAGGGTCTATATCGATTTGTCTCGAGTATATGGAAGGTGGGCACATATTTGTTGCATCATGTATTCATTTGAGTTTGCAAGTGACCGATGCAGAGCACGTATCACTTCCGTGCTAATCGAGACGTTCTTCCTTGAAATAAGTTGTTATGGTTTATTGTATTATGCCGTGAATTACGGACAACACCTTCTTATCCGTGATAGGCTGGTAATCTTAATTTATTCATCCATGTGGTTGTACGTACAGACGATTGTTCTGGTGAATGCTTCTCTCGGTAGAGGCAACAAAAAACCTCAATCATAGTTTCTATGCTTCCTGAGCTATTTTCTGCAGAAATTGTGAGGGCACTGGTCAAATTATGAGGCAATAATTGAGTGTGTTGTCTGAAAAAGCAAGCATACTGTCAAATTATGAGGCAATAACTGAGTGTGTTGTCTGAAAAGGCAAGCATACTGTCAAATTATGAGGCAATAACTGAGTGTGTTGTCTGAAAAAGCAAGCATACTGTCAAATTATGAGGCAATAACTGAGTGTGTTGTCTGAAAAAGCAAGCATACTCGCGCGATGAGAGATAAATCACTCACTATTAATCCAATAATCTATAGGTGGAGCCCTCAGTGACCTGTGTCAAAAATCGGGACGGATTCCGGAAAAGTACTTGTGTCATATCGCAGAGCAGGTATTTGAGTTATGTATGCACAAGTCGCAAAAATTGGCATGCGCCACGGTTATCAAATATAAATTCAAGGATCATTTGAATAAATTTGAGAGAATTTGCGGTTTGTTTGTTTTTGTTTTTTTGTCACATCCGCCGTCGAGGAGTGAGTTAGACAAAAGACAGAGTACCACGCCTCATAATCTTTTTGGCATAAGTATATTTTCTCATCGCGGCATTTTCACCTATTAGTCTTTTACATCCGGCAAAACTTCTCGCTTCAAGGGCCTCCGGGGTCTACAATACATGCACAAGGATAGGCATCTGATTCACAGGGACATAAAGCCATCAAATCTGTTACTTTCATCCACGGTACGCCCTTTCTGATTATGATTTTACTATAGTGTCGCGTTGCCCTGCCATCGGTCTGTGAGTATTTTCCATGTTTGATGCTAAGAGATATCTGGCGAAGCGATAGCATTAAATATGCTGTGAGTGTTTATTTAGTCTGGGTGTGTATGGCTTTCCGGCAATGATTAGCTCTCATTGCATGGCACATATAGTGGATACGCGAGTATTTACATTGCTCCAGAATGTGTATGTAGTTGTCTGTGCATATGTCGGTACTGGGAGGATGTTCTAGATTTGGTGAATGTTCGCATTCTATTCAATTTAATAGTATGGTTAACAAAACGGGATTCGCCAACCTTTAGATTGGGCGTGACAATTTTTAGCTTGGGGTCTGAGGCAGTCGTTTTTATTGCAGACGTATATAGGTAGGACTGGGAGCTAAACCTGAGAGAAATTAATACCCTCTCCCAAAATATGGCTCTTCTCAGGGTGCTGTTAAAATCTCGGATTTTGGTGTCAGCGGCCAATTAGCCAGTACTATCAGTAGCTGCGTTTCATGGGTCGGTACTGTTACTTATATGTCGGTAAGTCACCCATACATAATTACAATCAGTTCTATGCAAAAAAAAAAATCGAGGAAATCACACCTCGATTTGTTGATATAGTCTAATATGGCACCTCGTCTGGGTCAGCAAATCGGGTCGTTTGTAGGAAAGAAATACAATCGGGGTTCCATGGAAGCGGGGGTGCTGAGAAATATTTTTAACTAACCAATTTTGTAATATTTGATCTTTTTCTAGCCGGAGCGAATCCAAGGGAAATCATATTCTGTGTTATCTGATATTTGGAGTTTTGGGTAAGTTGAGGGCTTGTTAGTGTGTGTCAATTCTGTTCGTAGACTGCTTTCTAGTATATTGATGCACTCACTCCTACGTATGCATTTCACTTTCATCGTACACGCCCATGCAGCTTAATGTATTAATGTAGCATGAATGTCCAAGTTTCAGACCTGTGAGTAGCTGCTCATACCAACATATAAATCTAAATAGACTCTCGGTGATGGAGCTTGCGTTGCACGCATTTCCTTACCCGATTAAGACGGAAGAAGGGGGCCTTGGGTTCTGGGAGCTTTTGGATTATATAGTCGATCAACCTGCGCCAGTATTACCAGCCAGCGAAAGTTTCAGCCCCGAATTCCGAGACTTCTTGAGACTCAGTTTACAAAAAAATCCGAAAAACAGGCCTACGGCATCTGAATTACTGGTATGTTTTTTCTGGGACGAATTGGCATTGATTAAGTACAACCTGTCTGCCTTCAATTGCAAATAAACGAGCCCCAACTCTGCCTTGTTTTGGCTACAAAATTCCACTACCAGTGCATACTCGGATGTTTTGCTGACAACTTCAATTGTATAGCTCATATTCATATTTCGATTCTGGTCCGATTTTATTTCAGCAACACCCGTGGATGCAGATGCACGACACTTCCGATTGTAATCTATTTGAGTGGGCAAGGCACAATGTGGTAGAGCCTGTTAGGAATTAAGTATTAATCGGCATTTGAATCCCAATTGCCATGGACATTACATCTAAAGACTAAATCTAAAATCAGTACATCTCGTAAATGTTCTTAAAAGCAATAGAATGATCTGTAGGCCTATCTGTTTGGAACTTCACTTTGTGGGTATACATTGCTCAACCCGTGAAAAATATATTTGCAGATGATATATTCATTAGAGTACTGAGTTCGTGGTATGAAGATTAGGCTGGGTATTTTTATATATATATATATATATATATATATATAATGTGTAGTAATAGTATACATATATTATATATATTATATATATATATATATATATATATATATAATAATATATATATATACTATATATATATATTA